TTATTACAAGAGCCAAAATATGGAATTAATCTAAGCATCCAAAAATGGATGCATGGATAAGGAAATTATGCAGAGTATGAATGTGTGTGTGTGTGTGTGTATAAGAGAGAGAGAGAGAAAGAGAGAGAGAGAAAGATGAAATATAATTTCGCCTTTAAAAAGAAGGCTACTATGAGAAAAAGTGACTTGATGAGCCCTTGTCCCAACTGTTGATGTACAATTTAATACTTTATCCCTTTTAGTATTTTTTGTGTTCTACTTAATACTATTGGTTGAACTCTGTAATTCACACACAATTATTCTTAGGTGTTTAAATTTAACTGAAAAGTGATCTCGGTTAAATATAAGAGTGGGAATAAGAGAGGGAGGAGATGTACAGTTTGGGACATGCTCAATTGGACTTGCCCCAAATGGTGGAGTTAGAAAGGTGCCAGGGGATTCCAATACAATCTCATCAAGGTGGCATGTAGCAATGCCATCTCACTAGTCCAAGTCATCAATTTCAGTTCACAATTGATCACACTGATAGCTATAAGAGTCAAAGGGATCACACAAACAAGACTAGTGTCTGAGATTACTAACTGACAGAATAAAAAAGAGAGAAAAAGATCCATCATGGGAAGCAGGATACAAAGCAGACTCAGAGAATGGCGGATGTTCTAAATAGTACTCTGGCTTCTTAAGGATCAGCCCTTAAGGCATTCATATCTGGCTGAAGAGCCCATGAGAGTATTTCAGGCATGGAAAGCCAAGACACTCTGTAAAAAAGAAAAGACCTAAATGAAAGATCCCTGGGAGTGAGATCCCAGTAGAAAGAACAGGCCATCAAAGAAGGAGGTACCTTTCTCTGAAGGGAGGAGAGAACTTCCACTTTGACTATGACCTTGTCTTTTTGACTATGACCTTGTCTAAATAAGATCGAAGTCAGCGAACTCAAGAGGCTTCCATAGCCTTGGCAACTCATGACTAGAGCCTAGAGAGATTACTGATGCCATAAACAAGAGTGTCAAATTGTTAAGTCAACAACAGGAGTCACTGTATACTTACTCCTCATGTGGGATTTCTGTCTTTAATGTGTTAACCCAAGAAGCACAGGCAGTCAAAGCCAAAATTAACATTTGGGATTGCATCAAATTGAGAAGTTTCAGTACTGCAAAAGAAACAGTCAGGAAAGTGAAGAGACAACTGACAGAATGGGAAAAACTATTTGCAAACTATGCAACTGATAAAGGGTTGATAACCAGAATCTACAAACAAATCAAGAAACTCCACAACAGCAAAACAAACAACCCACTTAAGACATGGGCCAAGGACCTCAATAGAAATTTTTCAAAAGAGGAAATCCAAATGGCCAACAGAAACATGAAAAAATGTTCAAGATCACTAGCAATCAGGGAAATGCAAATCAAAACCACAGTGAGGTTCCACCTCACCCCAGTTAGAATGGCTCACATTCAGAAATCTACCAACAACAGGTGCTGGAGAGGATGTGGGGAAAAAGGGACACTAACCCACTGTTGGTGGGAATGCAAACTGGTTAAGCCACTATAGAAGTCAGTCTGGAGATTCCTCAGAAACCTGAATATAACCCTACCATTCAACCCAGCCATCCCACTCCTTGGAATTTACCCAAAGCAAATGAAATTGGCAAACAAACAAGCTGTCTGCACATTAATGTTTATTGCAGCTCAATTCACAATAGCTAAGACCTGGAACCAACCCAAATGCCCATCAACAGTAGACTGGAGAAAGAAATTATGGGACATGTACTCTATAGAATACTATATAGCAGTCAAAAACCATGAAACCCGGTCATTTGCAACAAGATGGAGGAATCTGGAAAACATCATGCTGAGTGAATTAAGCCAGTCCCAAAGGGACAAATATCATATGTTCTCCCTGATTGGCGACAACTAACTGAGCACCAAAGGGGAAACCTGTTGAAGTGAAATGGACACTATGAGAAACAGTGACTTGATCAGCTCTTGTCCTGACTGTTGATGTACAGTGTAATACTTTATCCATTTTAGTATTTTTTTTTGTTCTAGTACTATTGGTTGAACTCTGTAATTAACACACAATTATTCTTAGGTGTTTAAATTTTAACTGAAAAGTGATCCCTGTTAGTAATTTGGAAAACATTATGTTGAGTGAAATAAGCCAATCCCAAAGGGACAAATACCACTTGTTCTCCTTGATAGGTGACAACTAACTGAGCACCAAAAAGGAAACCTGTTAAAGTGAAATGAACACTATGAGAAACGGTGACTTGATCAGCCCTCACCCTGACTGTTGATGAGCAGCTTAATATGTTATCCTTCTTAGTATTTTTTTTGTTTGTTCTACTTAATACTTTTGGTTGAATACTGTAATCAATACACAATTCTTCTTAAGTGCTGAAACTTAACTGAAAAGTGATCGCTGTTAAATATAAGAGTGGGAATAAGAGAGGGAAGAGATGTATAATTCGGGACATGCTCAAGCTGACTTACCTCAAACGGTAGACTTAGAAACATACCAGGGGATTCGAATTCAATCCCATCGAGGTGGCATGTACCAATGTCATCCCACTAGTCCCAGTGATCAATTTCTGTTCACAATTGATCGTAATGATAGGACTAAGAACCAAAGGGATCACATAAACAAGAATAGTGTCTGCAAATACTAGCTGATAGAATCAAAAAGGGAGAGAATGATCCAACATGGGAAGTGAGATACACAGCAGACCCAAAGAATGGCAAATGTCCTAACAGCACTCTGGCCTCAGAATCAGCCCTTAAGGCATGTGGATCCTGCTGAAATGCCCATGAGAGTATTTCAGGCATGGAAACCCAAGACACTCTGGGGGAAAAAAAAAAACCTAAATGAAAGATTTCCACGAGTGAGATCCCAGTGGAAAGAATGGGTCATCAAAGAAGGAGGTACCTTTCTCTGAAGGGAGGAGAGAACTTTCAATTTGACCATGGCCTTGTCTAAATATGATCAGTCAGTGAACTCAGGGGGCTTCCATAGCCTTGGCAGCTCATGACAAGAGCCTAGGGTGATTACTGATGCCATAAACAAGAGTGTCAATTTGTTAAGTCAACAACAGGAGTCACTGTGCACTTACTCCTCATGTAGGATCTTTGTCCTTAGTGTGCTGTACATTGAGATTTAATGCTATAACTAGTACTCAAACAGTATTTTTAACTTTATGTTTCTGTGTGGGTGCAAACTGATGAAATCTTTACTTAATATATACTAAATTGATCTTCTGTATATAAAGATAATTGAAAATGAAATTTGATGTGAATGAAATGGGAGAGGGAGCTGGAGAGGGGAGGGTTGCGGGTGGGAGGGAAGTTATGGGGAGGAACCATTGTAATGCATAAACTGTACTTTGGAAATTTATATTTACTAAATAAAAGTTAAAAAAAGAAAAGAAAAAAAAAGAAGGAAATATTGTCATTTGCAACAGATAATAGAGGACATGATGCTAAATAAGATAATCCAAGTATAGAAAGACAAATACTGCATGATCTCATATGTTTAATCTAATAATGTCAGACTCACAGAAACAGAGTAGAGAATGGTGACCTCCAGAGGATGAGGGATAGGAAAAAATTATGAGATGCTGTTTAGCATTCAGGATTAATATTTTCCAGAGATTTAATGTACAACATGATTATATTTAATAATACTATGTTGTATACTTGATATTAGCTAAAAGAGTATATCTTAAGATCTTAAATCTGGGCCAGCGCTGTGACATAGTGGGTAAAGCCATCGCCTGCAATGCCAGCACCCCACATGGCCACCGGTTCGGGTCCCAGTTGCTCTGCTTCCAATCTAGCTCTCTGCTATTGCTTAGGAAAACAACAGAAGATGGTCCAAGTCCTTGGGTCCCTGCACCCTCCTGGGAGACCTGGAAGAAGCTCCTGGCTCCTGGCTTCGGATCAGCACAGCTCTACCACTGCAACCAATTGTGGAGTGAACCAGTGAATGTAAGACCTCTCTCTCATCCTTTCTCTCGATCTCTCTCTCTCTTTCTCTCTCTGCCTCTCCGTCTCTCTCTGTGTAACTTGAATTTCAAATAAATAAATAAATCTTTAAAAAAATCTTAAATTTTCTCACCATACACAAAAATGTGATAACTATATGTGATCAAAGATATGTTCATTTGGTTCATTGGTAATAATTTCACAATTTATATGTACACAAACATTTTATTCTATAAATATATACAATGAAGCAAGCAAAAAAGAGAAAATGGGAAAACAGATATGGTGTGTTTCTGAAGTGTGAAGAGATGCCATTTTTTGTTTTCATTCTTGGCACTCTTAAACATTCAGGCCTCTTTAAGTTAGGCCTTAAGTTGTCAAAAACAAGCAAAGGAAAAAAAAGTAAGATGGTTGCACTTGAGTGAACTGCCAAAAGCATCTATAGCCAAAAATCTCAGTCACTGAGAGTACTTGACAGATTCAGAAAACAATTTCTGGATCCATCAAAAACCTGGAGCTGTCATAAGACCAATTTATCCCCTTTACCTTTTCTAAGAGAAATTATGAACACAAGTAAATAAAACCAGATTGTTCTATACAATAGAACTCAGAATAGCTACTTAGACTAGGTAAACAGACTGTCCAAAAAAACAAGGTTAAAGGTAGTTCTAAAAACAGATTCAAGTTGTCCTGAAGGATTTCACTGTTGCTGAAACTATAAAAATCATCTTACCTTGCATTTTCAAATTATATTTATTGCACTCTCTTCTCTTAGCTCTGTTGAATTTTCAGGTTTCCTCTTTTAGCGGAAAAAGGAAGAAAAGATGATGGGCTTAAAACCTGATCCCACTCCAGACAGCTGTGTGACAAGGGGAAGACTTTCAGTTTCCTTGAATCTCAATTTCTTCATTCCTAAAATAAGAATAAATAGTATATGGGATGTGGCTGGGGCACTGTCAACCTCACTGTATCTATCATGTTCAATTTTCAGAGTCTGTTGACTGCGATATTTTTTTTTCACATTGGACAGGTCATGTGCCAATCTGTAACAAGGTTTAGAAGGAGGAATATATCACATACAAAGGTGTATACACCCAATCATCAAGCTTATAAACCACAAAAAGGATCTGTAATCTTTCTGCTTATATGTTCCTGTGCTTATTTCCAATCCTTGGCATCCAGTCTGCTGGACAGAAATAAAACTAAACTGCTTGGTATATTTTAGATGTTCACCAGAATTAATGGATGGAAGCATCCTTATGGTGTATTGTGCTGTGTTGTGATGGCCTTCAGCATCTTCTTCATATAGTAGCTTGGAGAAAGGCCAGAATTGAATTATAATCAGATTTCAGTATGAACAAAGACTTACCTGAAAATGTAATGATGGAAGCTCCAAACACTAAATGAGATAAATTTCCAGATTGTTTTTTTAGTTAAATTTTTTTATTTAGTAAATATAAATTTCCAAAGTACAGTTTATGCATTACAATGGCTTCCCCCCCGCCCACAATTTCCCTCCCACTCGAAACCCTACCATCTCCAGCTCCTCTTCCATTCCATTCACATCAAGATTCATTTTAATTATCTTTATATACAAAAGGTTGATTTAGTATATATTAAGTAAAGATTTCATCAGTTTGCACCCACACAGACACACAAAGTGTAAAATACTGTTTCAGTACTAGTTATAGCATTAATTCACATTGGACAACAAATTAAGGACAGAGATCCCACATGTGAAGCAAGTACACAGTGACTCCTGTTGTTGACTTTACAATTTCACACTCTTGTTTATGGCATCAGGAATCTCCCTAGGCTCTAGTCATGAGTTGCCAAGGCTATGAAAGCCTTTTGAGTTCGCCAACTTTGATCTTATTTAGACAAGGTCATAGTCAAAGTGGAAGTTCTCTCCTCCCTTCAGAGAAAGGTACCTCCTTCTTTGATGGCCTCGTTCTTTCCACTGGGATCTCACTCGCAGAGATCTTCCATTTAGGTCTTTTCTTTTATTCCAGGTGTCTTGGCGTTCCATGCCTAAAATACTCTCATGGGTTCTTCAGTCAGATACAAATGCCTTAAGGGCTGATTCTGAGGCCAGAGTGCTATTTAGGACATCTGCCATTCTATGAGTCTGCTTTGTACCCCGCTTCCCATGATGGATCTTTTTCTCTCTTTTTTATTCTGTCAGTTAGTAATCTCAGACACTAGTCTTGTTTGTGTGATCCCTTTGACTCTCAGAGCTATCAGTGTGATCAATTGTGAACTGAAATTGATGACTTGGACTAGTGAGATGGCATTGCTACATGCCACCTTGATGAGATTGTATTGGAATCCCCTGGCACCTTTCTAACTCCACCATTGGGGGCAAGTCTGATTGAGCATGTACCAAACTGTACATCTCCTCCCTCTCTTATTCCCACTCTTATGTTTAACAGGGATCACTTTTAAGTTAAAATTTAAACACCTAAGAATAATTGTGTGTTAATTATAGAGTTCAACCAATAGTACTAGAACAAAACAAAGGGAAAATACTAAAATGGATAAAGTATTACACTGTACATCAACATTCAGGACAAGAGCTGATCAAGTCACTGTTTCTCATAGTGTCCATTTCACTTCAACAGGTTTCCCCTTTGGTGCTCAGTTAGTTGTCGCCAATCAGGGAGAACATATGATATTTGTCCCTTTGGGACTGGCTTAATTCACTCAGCATGATGTTTTCCAGATTCCTCCATCTTGTTGCAAATGACCGGGTTTCATGGTTTTTGACTGCTGTATTCTATAGAGTACATGTCCCATAATTTCTTTCTCCAGTCTACTGTTGATGGGCATTTGGGTTGGTTCCAGGTCTTAGCTATTGTGAATTGAGCTGCAATAAACATTAATGTGCAGACAGCTTGTTTGTTTGCCAATTTCATTTCCTTTGGGTAAATTCCAAGGAGTGAGATGGCTGGGTTGTATGGTAGGGATATATTCAGGTTTCTGAGGAATCTCCAGACTGACTTCCATAGTGGCTTAACCAGTTTGCATTCCCACCAACAGTGGGTTAGTGTCCTTTTTCCCCACATCCTCTCCAGCACCTGTTGTTGGTAGATTTCTGAATGTGAGCCATTCTAACTGGGGTGAGGTGGAACCTCATTGTGGTTTTGATTTGCATTTCCCTGATTGCTAGTGATCTTGAACATTTTTTCATGTTTCTGTTGGCCATTTGGATTTCCTCTTTTGAAAAATTTCTATTGAGGTCCTTGGCCTATCTGTTAAGTAGGTTGTTTGTTTTGCTGTTGTGGAGTTTCTTGATTTGTTTGTAGATTCTGGTTATCAACCCTTTATCAGTTGCATAGTTTGCAAATAGTTTTTCCCATTCTGTCAGTTGTCTCTTCACTTTCCTGACTGTTTCTTTTGCAGTACTGAAACTTCTCAATTGATGCAATCCCAAATGTTTATTTTGGCTTTGACTGCCTGTGCTTCTGGGGTCTTTTCCAAGAAGTCTTTGCCGGTACCTATATCTTTCAGGGTTTCTCCAATACTCTCTAATAATTTGATGGTGTCGGGTCATAGATTTAAGCCTTTAATCCATGTTGAGTGGATTTTTGTGTAAGGTGAAAGGTAGGGGGGTAGAGGTCTTGCTTCATGATTCTGCACGTGGAAATCCAATTTTCTCAGCACCATTTATTGAATAGACTGTCCTTAACCAGGGATCGGTTGGATCCTTGATCAAATATAAGTTGGCTGTAGATGTTTGGGTTGACTTCTGGTGTTTCAATTCTGTTCCATTGGTCTATCCATCTGTTTCTGTACCAGTACCATGCTCTTTTAATAACAACTGCACCCTGTAGTATGTCCTGAAATCTGATATTGTGATGCCTCCGGCTTTGTTTTTGTTGTACAAAATTGCTTTAGCTATTCGAGGTCTCCTGCATCTCCATATGAATTTCAGCATCATTTTTTCCAGATCTGAGAAGAATGTCTTCGGTATTTTGATGGTATTGCATTGAATCTATAAATTCCTTTTGGGAGAATGGACATTTTGATGAGATTGATTCTTCCAATCCATGAGCATAGAAGATTTTTCCATTTTTTGGTATCCTCTTCTATTTCTTTCTTTAAGGTTTTGTATTTTTTATCGTAGAGATCTTTAACATCCTTGGTTAAGTTTATTCCAAGGTATTTGATTGTTTTTGTAGTTTTTGTGAATGGGATTGATCTTAGAAGTTCTTCATCAGCCATGGCATTGCCTGTGTATACAAAGGCTGTTGATTTTTTTGCATTGATTTTATATCCTGCTACTTTGCCAAACTCTTCTATGAGTTCCAGTAGTCTCTTAGTAGAGTTCTTTGGGTCCCCTAGGTAAAGAATCCTATCATCTGCAAAGAGGGATAGTTTCAGTTCTTCCTTCCCAATTTGTATCCCTTTAATTTCTTTTTCTTGCTTATTAGCTCTGGCTAAAACTTCCAGAACTATGTTGAATAGTAGTGGTGAGAGTGGGCATCCCTGTCTGGTACCAGATCTCAGTGGAAATGCTTCCAACTTTTCCCCATTCAATAGGATGCACGCTGTGGGTTTTTCATAAATTGCTTTGGTTGTATTGAGGAATGTTCCTTCCATACCCAGTTTGCTTAGAGTTTTCATCATGAAAGGGTGTTGTATTTTTCTCTGCGTCTATTGAGATAATCATATGGTTTTTCTTCTGCAGTCTGTTAATGTGGTGTATCACATTGATTGTTTTGGGAACATTGTACCATCCCTGCATACCAGGGATAAATCCCACTTGGTCTGAGTGGATGATTTTTCTGATGTGTTGCTGCATTCTATTGGCCAGAATTTTATTGAGGATTTTTGCATGAATGTTCATCAGGGATATTGGTCTGTAATTCTCTTTCATTGCTGCATCTTTTTCTGGCTTAGGAATTAAGGTGATGCTGGCTTCATAGAAAGAATTTGGGAGGATTCATCTTTTTTGATTGCTCTGAATAGTTTGAGGAGAATTGGAGTTAGTTCTTCTTTAAATGTCTGGTAGAATTCAGCAGTGAATCCATCTGGTCCTGGGCTTTTCTTTGTGGGGAGGGCCTTTATTACTGTTTCAATGTCTGTCTCAGTTATGGGTCTGTTTAGGTTTTCTGTCTTCCTGGTTCAATTTAGGTAGGTTGCATGTGTCCAGGAATCTATCCATTTCTGATAGATTTCCCTGTTTGCTAGCATACAAGTCCTTGTAGTAATTTCTGATGATTCTTTTTATTTCTGTAGTGTCTGTTGTTAACGTTTCTTTTTTCATCTCTGATTTTATTGATTTGGGTCTTTTCTCTTTTTTTTGTTTTTTTTTTTTGTTAGTTGGGCAAATGGGGTGTCAATTTTGTTTATTTTTTCAAAAACGAGCTCCTCATTTGGATGATTTTTTGTATTTGTTTTTTGATTCAATGCTATTGATTTCTTCTCTGATTTTAATTATTTCTCTTCTACTAGATTTGGGTCTGGTTTGCCGCAGATTTTCTAGATCCTTAAGATGAATTGAAAGCTCATTTATAATTTTTATGTTATTGGACCAATGTTCTAAAAACATTTGAGATATAACCATTTAATATTCAAAGAGTTTAATAACATGTAACACTCACTCTCACTACTGTTATTACAGTATTACATTCTGCAAATGTTTGTTGTGGACTATACCAATTTTTAATGAGGTACCTCTAAGGCACACACCAGGAAGCAAAATTAGTAAATGATTCCAGTTCTTTTCCCTGTGATTTGGAAATTATAAATCCTTACAGTATGAGAAAAAAAGAATAAATGTCTGCTTTATTTACCAAGTAGGGTATTATCAAAATCAATAGATGTAATGCATATGAAAGAACCCTATAAAGTGTAACATTCCATATAAGACACATCAGAATTAATACGAGCACTAAATTAGGCTTTAGATAAAGCATCCTGTAAAACCTTGCATTTTGCTTTGTGAAGTCAAGGAGAAATGGGAGGGGCTTTTGCCTATCCTGAAAGCAAAAGTAGTAGAGGGGAGAGAAAAATGAAGCAGAGAAATGCCTACAAATTTCTTTGTTATCAGTAACCCCAGGATGAAATTTCCCCCACAAAACCTCAAAAGATGTATTCTTCATTTCCAATACTCAGGATGTTT